ATAATCAATTTTTCCTCTTTAGATGCCTATAGAATAATCTTTTTGCTCCAATTTTTATGAATGTTTAAGATGATGTGCTTTAGTGTGGTTCTGTTTTCATCTATTGTGCTAAACACATGGTCACTCTCTAGAATATTAAGTCTAGATATTCATGTACTTCAATTCTGGAAATTTTCTTAACATTTCTTGGATAAAGTTTTCATCTTCATTTTCTCTTTTTTCTTTTTCAACTTTTATTATTGGCATCTAAGATCTTCTAGAATGGTGCTCTACTTTCCTTCTCTGTTTCCATTGCTTTGTCTTTGCTCTATTTCTAGGATATTTGTTCAACTTTATTTTCCAAACCTTCTTTTGTGTTTAAATTTTACAGAGCTCCTTTTTTTCTTTTAGGTGTTCTCTTAGTGTTCCTTTTTACCCTATCACTGTATTCTTGTTTCATAGACACACTATTTCCTCTTATCTTACTGAGGTTATTACTGATCTTGTTCTTTTTTTTGTTAGGTTTTCTTCTCTGATATCATCTCTTGCTTCACATGTGTGTCAGTGAGCCACAGAAAACTGACTAAGAGCCCAGTGTGACTGGCGGGGTTGGAGATGTGATCTTCATTGTAGATTGCTTTGCTGGGCCATTTCCTCATGGGATTAATATGTCAGTATGTTTTGGATTTTCTCTCAGGCTTATCAGATTTCCCAGAAAGACTCATCTTCTACCTGGAGAATACATGATGGTGGCTGGCACTCTGGAAGCCAAGTTAAAGGAGAGAGCTAAGGAGTCTCAACATTTCTAATGTATATGGCTTCACTTTCCAGTACAGTATTCAACTCTGCATGCCTTCTTGCCCCTCAGATAGATACTATCTATTCAGGCCTCATTAGAAAATAAACTTCTAGCCACTTTCTGGGATTGGGAAAGAACAGTCACTCGGCCACTGGAGCTGGAAAGGAGGTCTGGGGTTCCAATTGCCTCTTAGATAGGCTGTGATCCTATCCTTTTGGTTTGAGCCTTGCTCTCTCCACCACATCCAGATGTAGCTAATGCTGCCAATTCCTGAAACTTTGTGGGGGGGTTTTGCTACACAAATCTAGTGGCTTCTTATTGCTTTTCCCACTGATGGCTTAGGATTCAACTTTCCCAAATTTGCTTAGTTGGTTACCAATGAACCATCACTTTTCAGCTTCAAATTTTTGTTGCTCTTGTCTTTTCTACCATTCTCTTTGACTCATTGGTTTTTTACCTTTTTGGAATATTTCTTATATTTTTTAGAGGTTTCATGAGGGAATGGAAGTAATTATGTCCAGTCTTCTCTCTTTACCTGGAAGTCCAAGAGTAGTTACTGGCTTTTAAGAACTAATATTTTATGGTATCTCATTGACTTTGAAACATGTGGACCACACGCTTGCTATAGAATATTCAACTTTCTCCAATAGAAGAATCCCAAGGAATAGAAATCTATGTACTTTTTCCTTTTAGAAAAAAATAAGTGTAAAGCTTCAGCAACCTCATGTACTTTTAAGTTTGTGCCTCTCAATTGCACAGATGACCAGATAATCCCAGCTCTGCCCCTCCCAAACCCCCACAACCCCACCCATAAACAAAAGACTCCTGAGTCCATTTCCTTTAGCCTTTTAATAGTAGCCTTTTAATAATTTCCAGTAAATGCTTTCAACTGTGCAATATACATTTCATGCTTTCCTCTTTATTAGTGGTCCATCAATAAATATACAAAAAATCAGAGGAAGGGTGTGCTGTGAAAAACTGAACTATCAATGCTCATAGTACATGCATGAACAAGGAGCTATTCTTTGAAAACTCAAGGCAGCTGATTGACAGTCATTCCTATGACATAAAGATGAATGGGCCACATTAAGCTTATTCTTAAGTATCTTAAGTATATTTTACTTTTCTAAAGAAGTGAAAGGTTTCCTTCCTCCTACTCCCCTATCTCAGTCTATCTGTTGGGAATTTCTAAAAGGAGTAGAAAACCACCCGGTGCTTTGAGACTTGTATTTCTATCCTTGGCCCCAAAGAGAATCTGAAGGACAGGTAGAGCCTGGTGCAGCTCTCCTGAACCTGACCCCAGCATGGCTTGTCGCATTCAGAAAGAGACTGAGCGAGCCTGTGTGAGTCTGCAGCAGACCCCGGAAAGCTCTTGGAACGCAGGGAGCATTTGGACACTAGTGGCAGTAACCACAGAGTGGCCAGATGTCCATTTCCTTTCAGTAAAAAGAAAGCCAGATGCCTGAATATGGAACTAGCCAATGATGTTCACAGAAGAGAAAGGAAGCTTTCAAAAGCTATGATGGAGAGGGGGTTTTAAAGGTGGATAGGGGAGAGCAGAGGTAGGGAATGCATACAGAAAGCAGGCATCTCTCCTTCAAATATATCCTTGCAAACCACCTCGTTGTATAAGCCCAACCCTGCTTTACAACATGGGAGATTTTTTTTCCTTCTTTTTTCTTGATGGGGACGGGGGATCTGAGAAACACTGCCAGTTAAGCATATTAGCTTAGGCAACCGATGACTTTTTATAGGTGTCTAAGGAAGGAAGTCCCATTTTATAGGAGCCATTATTTTATAGATTCAATTTCTTCATTACAAGTGGCCTTTGGAAGTTCCAGGACCAAAGGGACCAATAAGAACTACAAAGGACTTGCCAGGGCAGAGATAAAGCCACTAATTCTCTTGTCTGACCATAAACCTGCTTATCTAATGATAAGATTCCAATGGTGGGAAGTCCTGTAGCCTTCTAGGGGATTTCCCAGGTACTTAACTTACCTGTGTAGCAGCTGCACTAGAGACAGACAACCAGCTTGTTAAAGTATCAACAAATACAGCCATAAAAATATTCAAGCAAGATCTCCATTGCTCCCTCCCCACCATTTCCCCAACCAGTGGCAATCATTTGGCTACTGCCTAAGCTTTCTTTCATTTCCACTGGCTTCTCCCTTTATTACAAGAAGTCAAAAGGCACTTCTGTACTGTTTTGGGGCATCACTAATAGAGTCAGCATCTATGAAAGGGGAGGCCACAAATAGTAGGTCATGCAAATACTATGTGACTTTTCATAGCCTCTCAGAGATGAGAACAGGTGACTGTAAGAACTAAAGGCAGCTGAGGCTCCTCCTCCTCTCCTCCCCAACTCTGGTTCTAGGACAGGACAGAAAGCCTTTGGAGACTTGGAAATAAAATACATTATCTTCCCTTGATCTCTGAGAGTTGAATGCCCTGATTGGGGGTTTAGTGGCTCTGAGATGAAGACTTTCAAGGAGGACCTTCTCACATCTTCCTGATGAGCTGTTGGGACTCAGAAACTGAAGGAACACAGCACAAAGAGTTAAGGTGGAAGAAGTACAGGTATTTATTATGAACCAGCTTAAACCCTCTTATGCCTCTGACAAAGTAACCAAAAAAAAAAAAATCATACTGATCAAAGGACCTCCAGGGTTTAATATTTCAAAAAAAAAACACAGATAAATAGCTTACTACAGATAAATAGCTTCACCCTTTGGGTATTTCCCAGAAGCATGTGAAAAATTTCCATGGGGTCTGTAGAAGGCGATGTGTAACCAGTATGCCCTGATTCCCTAACCCACTGGAAAGAAATGCCCAGGGATTAGGCTGGGCTGGAAGAGGAGGGGCAATATGGACCCATTCAGATTTCTTGGCTGGGACCAATCCCTCCCAGCCCAGGGGATGCCCTCAGCAGATGGCTATTAGCTGGGAGGTGGAGTGGAGGAAAGGCTGGGGATCAGGAAGATGTATTTGTGGCTTTTGTTAGAAGTTATCCATAGCACACCTCAGCAGGTGAGAGGCTCCTAGGTGGGAACTGGAACAGCCAAATTCTTGCCAAGTAATCAACTCTGCATGCCTTCTTGCCCCTCAGATAGATACTATCTATTCAGGCCTCATTAGAAAATAAACTTCTAGCCACTTTCTGGGATTGGGAAAGAACAGTCACTCGGCCACTGGAGCTGGAAAGGAGGTCTGGGGTTCCAATTGCCTCTTAGATAGGCTGTGATCCTATCCTTTTGGTTTGAGCCTTGCTCTCTCCACCACATCCAGATGTAGCTAATGCTGCCAATTCCTGAAACTTTGTGGGGGGGTTTTGCTACACAAATCTAGTGGCTTCTTATTGCTTTTCCCACTGATGGCTTAGGATTCAACTTTCCCAAATTTGCTTAGTTGGTTACCAATGAACCATCACTTTTCAGCTTCAAATTTTTGTTGCTCTTGTCTTTTCTACCATTCTCTTTGACTCATTGGTTTTTTACCTTTTTGGAATATTTCTTATATTTTTTAGAGGTTTCATGAGGGAATGGAAGTAATTATGTCCAGTCTTCTCTCTTTACCTGGAAGTCCAAGAGTAGTTACTGGCTTTTAAGAACTAATATTTTATGGTATCTCATTGACTTTGAAACATGTGGACCACACGCTTGCTATAGAATATTCAACTTTCTCCAATAGAAGAATCCCAAGGAATAGAAATCTATGTACTTTTTCCTTTTAGAAAAAAATAAGTGTAAAGCTTCAGCAACCTCATGTACTTTTAAGTTTGTGCCTCTCAATTGCACAGATGACCAGATAATCCCAGCTCTGCCCCTCCCAAACCCCCACAACCCCACCCATAAACAAAAGACTCCTGAGTCCATTTCCTTTAGCCTTTTAATAGTAGCCTTTTAATAATTTCCAGTAAATGCTTTCAACTGTGCAATATACATTTCATGCTTTCCTCTTTATTAGTGGTCCATCAATAAATATACAAAAAATCAGAGGAAGGGTGTGCTGTGAAAAACTGAACTATCAATGCTCATAGTACATGCATGAACAAGGAGCTATTCTTTGAAAACTCAAGGCAGCTGATTGACAGTCATTCCTATGACATAAAGATGAATGGGCCACATTAAGCTTATTCTTAAGTATCTTAAGTATATTTTACTTTTCTAAAGAAGTGAAAGGTTTCCTTCCTCCTACTCCCCTATCTCAGTCTATCTGTTGGGAATTTCTAAAAGGAGTAGAAAACCACCCGGTGCTTTGAGACTTGTATTTCTATCCTTGGCCCCAAAGAGAATCTGAAGGACAGGTAGAGCCTGGTGTAGCTCTCCTGAACCTGACCCCAGCATGGCTTGTCGCATTCAGAAAGAGACTGAGCGAGCCTGTGTGAGTCTGCAGCAGACCCCGGAAAGCTCTTGGAACGCAGGGAGCATTTGGACACTAGTGGCAGTAACCACAGAGTGGCCAGATGTCCATTTCCTTTCAATAAAAAGAAAGCCAGATGCCTGAATATGGAACTAGCCAATGATGTTCACAGAAGAGAAAGGAAGCTTTCAAAAGCTATGATGGAGAGGGGGTTTTAAAGGTGGATAGGGGAGAGCAGAGGTAGGGAATGCATACAGAAAGCAGGCATCTCTCCTTCAAATATATCCTTGCAAACCACCTCGTTGTATAAGCCCAACCCTGCTTTACAACATGGGAGATTTTTTTCCCTTCTTTTTTCTTGATGGGGACGGGGGATCTGAGAAACACTGCCAGTTAAGCATATTAGCTTAGGCAACCGATGACTTTTTATAGGTGTCTAAGGAAGGAAGTCCCATTTTATAGGAGCCATTATTTTATAGATTCAATTTCTTCATTACAAGTGGCCTTTGGAAGTTCCAGGACCAAAGGGACCAATAAGAACTACAAAGGACTTGCCAGGGCAGAGATAAAGCCACTAATTCTCTTGTCTGACCATAAACCTGCTTATCTAATGATAAGATTCCAATGGTGGGAAGTCCTGTAGCCTTCTAGGGGATTTCCCAGGTACTTAACTTACCTGTGTAGCAGCTGCACTAGAGACAGACAACCAGCTTGTTAAAGTATCAACAAATACAGCCATAAAAATATTCAAGCAAGATCTCCATTGCTCCCTCCCCACCATTTCCCCAACCAGTGGCAATCATTTGGCTACTGCCTAAGCTTTCTTTCATTTCCACTGGCTTCTCCCTTTATTACAAGAAGTCAAAAGGCACTTCTGTACTGTTTTGGGGCATCACTAATAGAGTCAGCATCTATGAAAGGGGAGGCCACAAATAGTAGGTCATGCAAATACTATGTGACTTTTCATAGCCTCTCAGAGATGAGAACAGGTGACTGTAAGAACTAAAGGCAGCTGAGGCTCCTCCTCCTCTCCTCCCCAACTCTGGTTCTAGGACAGGACAGAAAGCCTTTGGAGACTTGGAAATAAAATACATTATCTTCCCTTGATCTCTGAGAGTTGAATGCCCTGATTGGGGGTTTAGTGGCTCTGAGATGAAGACTTTCAAGGAGGACCTTCTCACATCTTCCTGATGAGCTGTTGGGACTCAGAAACTGAAGGAACACAGCACCAAGAGTTAAGGTGGAAGAAGTACAGGTATTTATTATGAACCAGCTTAAACCCTCTTATGCCTCTGACAAAGTAACCAAAAAAAAAAAAATCATACTGATCAAAGGACCTCCAGGGTTTAATATTTCAAAAAAAAACACAGATAAATAGCTTACTACAGATAAATAGCTTCACCCTTTGGGTATTTCCCAGAAGCATGTGAAAAATTTCCATGGGGTCTGTAGAAGGCGATGTGTAACCAGTATGCCCTGATTCCCTAACCCACTGGAAAGAAATGCCCAGGGATTAGGCTGGGCTGGAAGAGGAGGGGCAATATGGACCCATTCAGATTTCTTGGCTGGGACCAATCCCTCCCAGCCCAGGGGATGTCCTCAGCAGATGGCTATTAGCTGGGAGGTGGAGTGGAGGAAAGGCTGGGGATCAGGAAGATGTATTTGTGGCTTTTGTTAGAAGTTATCCATAGCACACCTCAGCAGGTGAGAGGCTCCTAGGTGGGAACTGGAACAGCCAAATTCTTGCCAAGTATGAATTGGGCCCTCATTTCAGAAAGCAATTCTGTTTTTATAAATTGGAACTGACTTTAAAAAACAAAACACAAAAAACAAAAAGAAGTAGAAAATTTTATGCTAAAAAAGATCCCCAATGAAACAATCAGTAGCACATTGCATCTGCGAAGTGTCCCAGCTCCCTGTAAGGTTGTGTCTCCGATTGTTGTTTCTTTCCAAGGCCGTGGTGCAGGTGTTACACCCCAATCTTCATGTCTACATTCTGCAGGTTCCGTGTCTCATCAGCTGTCATAAACTGGTCTGGGGTCTCTGACGATTCCTTGTTCACCAAATGCACCATCTCCTGAGACTTGCTGGCATCTCCATTGAGTCCGCTTGGCTTTCTCTCTTCCACGGCTCCATTGCCATTGTTGATCACCAGCTTTTTCTTCTGCCCACACCTAATAATTTAGAAGATCATATGAGAAAGGGGTGCAATGACTCCAACTTCATTATTGTAGTCACCACCATCAGTACCACTACGCTTTTGGATGGTCTTAGTATGTTTCATCTTGCTGACTCTTAACAACTGGCACATCTCAGAGTGAGGCCCCTTGAACCAGCAGGGAAAGCCTCAGTCAGCAAAATGTAGATTCTCATCCCCATGCCAGCCATACTGAGGCAGAACACTATAGAAGGCGGGCCAGGATCTGTGGTTTAAGATGCCCTCAGGGGTTTCTGATGCACGATTGAGGTGGAGAATTAATGGTCAGAACTTTGGGAAGTCAGCGCTGTATCATCCCCCCATTACAGGTAACCCTGGGACTCAGAAAATTCAGTATCTTGCCCCACGTTACTTGACAAGTAATAAAAGAGTCAGGATTCAAACCCTGGTGTGTCTGACTCCCAAGTTCTGGTTCTCCTCCCACCGCACTACACAGTGGAAGTATCTGCCTCTTTTAAGCACTTCAGCAGTTTCTGCAGACTTAGATGAGTTGCAGACATGGTGATGCAAACCATTCTGATTTGTGTATTCAAGATAGACTCATTACTTCCTCTTCCACTCAACACCCATTGGCCTCATCAGGGTTCTTACTGCATGTACCGAGAATAATAAAATATTTTTACAGAAACATAAGGCCCTATTGACTTTTCCCTAACACGGGCTAACTTCCATATAACCCTGGATATAGGAGGTTTAACCATATGAGGCAAATTGTTCACTGTTAGTCTAAGGTTTCTTAGAAAATTATTTAAGATTCCAATGCAGAAGGTCTTCTGTGGAAGGGTGTGACCTTGATCTTGTCCCTGGGTCACAGCACTGCCTCACCCCCCAGCCTGATGTAATGCTCTCTCTTTCCTATAACATGGCCACTGCTACACACTGGAAGTCAGATTATGCTTGATGTGAGCAAAGTCTCAGAGCCTTACAGCTACAAGTGGGGTGAAAAGAGGGGAAATGGGCTACCATTTACTGGCTACCTCCTGAAGGCCAGGCACTTTACATATGATTTTATGTTGTCCTCACAATAACCCCACAAAGCAGCTATTATTCCCATTAGCAGTGGAAACTGAGGTTGAGGAAGGCTTAATAACTAGCTTGAGGTCACATAGCTAGTAAAATGGACAGAGTCAATGCTCACATCTAGGCCCTATGATCTAGGCTGGGCTCTGCCCAGCTCTATTCATGCTGCCAACCATCTGAAGATTTGGAAACAGTATGAACTCGGAATTGTTCACTTTGCCGCTGGATATTTGGAGTGGTAGAGACAAAGCCTCTATTATTCATGATTCTGGGCCCTTCCTTCTAGTACTGCCAAAGCCATAAACTTTAATCTCTTATTTGGTGAAATGGAAAGCATACCTCCTCAACAGGAGGTAGATCCTGTCTCTTCTGGCAGCATGCTTGATGAGGGGTGGAGGGAAAGGTGCTTGAACCATCCAAGGGGCTAGCAATCCAAGGGGCTAGCAATATGGGTGCAGCTCACAGAGACAAGAGCAGGGGCTTAGAAGGCCTGGTTTTGAGACCTTACTGCTGTGTGACCCTGGGCAACTCACTTAATCTCTCTGAGCCTCAGTTTTCTTGCTATAACACCAAGTTGTTAAGAGGACCAATCTCATAGGATTGTGGCAAGGCCTTGAAATAGAGCCTGGCACTGGATACATGACCCTATCTTGGCTATTATCTGTCGTTCCCCCTATGCAGGGTGAGGAAGCCAAGGCTTTGGATAAGCCCAGAATAGATTCTGGAATGCAGCAAATGTTCAAAACGTGCTGGTTGTAATTGCTAATATAACAAGAGCCACATGAAATGGGTTTTGCTTGCTGCTTCTGGCTGCCTCCACCTACTTGTTATGTTTATTATGAAGATGACTGAACAGGCTGAAGATGGAATGCTGCTCATATTCTTTCAAATTCTCAGCTGTTGGCTCAGGCATTCTTTGGAGGAAAAGTGTCTTATTAAGTAATTCCCATCGGCCTACCTAATGAGTGACTGAGGAACTGAATGAAATATTGTGGAAAGTGATCTATAGTCATAAAAAATGTTTGTGCATGTGATCTATAATCATAAAAAATGTTTGTGCATTGGGGGAGGAGAGGACTCATGTTTTTAGCCTAAATGAAGCTGGCTTTACCAGTGAGTAACATTCCACCTGTACGGTTTAGGAATATTGCGCTTGTGTTTTACCCTGCACCCATTTCCCTTTGGGTTTTATATGTCTTTGTAACCTGTCTGAGTTCTTTCAAGAAGGCAGGATGATTCTCATAAATAACTCAGTCCAATATTTGGTGCTTCAGGCATTTTCTAAGCACTTTTAAAAGACACGTTCTAAGTTTTTCATTCTTCTTAGTTATTGGAATTTCAAAAGGAATATTAGAGCTGAAGGGACTTCAGAGGTCATCCAGCCCAACCTCTTCCTTTTCTAAACTGGAGACAGGGTCCAAGAAGTCAAGGATATTGTCTGAAACTACACCACGAGTCATGGCAGTAACTACATAGAACCTGCAACTTGTATTTCTGGCTCTGAAGGTCAGAGATCTGTCTCCAACTGCATCTGGCCTGTATCTCCTTCCCCCTTAAATATCAACACTAGCTAAGTGTACAGTGACAACAATGTGGAAAAAACTAGACTGGAGCTTCACCAGGAGAGGGTGAGCAGGCTGGCTAGGGTTTAGAAGTGAGGTAATGTAACATTTAGGTGTGGAGGAATTTATGTTGAAAGACTTAGAGGGGCAACTTAACAGCTGATCTTATATTTTTTCTACCTGACGATATTTATGGATACTTACAGATTTACTCAGTAATGTGTTAAGCTGTGCCATTCAATATGGTAGGCACATGTGCCTATTTAAATTTAAACCGATCAAGTGAAGTTAAAATTTCACTCCTTAAATCAAACTAGCCTTGTTTCGGGTGCTCAGTAGCTATAAGTGGTTAGCGGTTGTATTGTAGCCAGTACAGATGTGGACATTTCCATCATTGCCAAAAGTTTGGTTGGACAACTTTGTTCTAGAGAGAGGGCAGAACAAGGTGGCGTGAGCACAGATTACAGTGAGCTAGGCTGCAGCTTAAGGGAAGCAAGACATTTCTAAGCCATGGAGCTTTGGGGAGGTGGGCCTACCAAGCAGAGTGGATGACTACTGCCCACTGGGGTTTACAGGAAACATGATTATTTCCGAGAGAGTAAAAGCTGGTGGTGGCCTTTTCCACATGATGGGTGTAGAAACATGTTTTAATCATTCTTGTTTTGTGAAACCTTCTCTGGTAAGGTCCTCACATTTTTTTTTCTTTTTCATACAAATCAGATCAATTATTTAAAGGAAAGGCATCTAACTTCTCTGGGGCCTCATCCAGTATCTACCAACTCAACTGACTCCTAAAATAATCATTTGCTCTTAAAGATAGTGAATAAGCTGCAATTTCCATCAGAAAACTGCAATTCAGCCTGAGATGAAGAACAGCAAGGAAAGATGTTGTGGGTTGATAAGAGGGAGGGGAAAGCTAAAGTAATAATAGGACCCCTACACCAGGGTCTGTGACATGATGCAACTCATGGATCCCTTTGTCATGGAAGCCTGTGGTCAACTTTTGAACATCGACTTCAGTGACTGTTTTTCCACTTGTATCTTTTAACTGTAATTCATATAATAGTGCCTGGCACAGAGAATGTTCTCAATAAATATTAGCAGACTCAAATCCAATGAGCCAATGTTGCCAATAAACCTCAAGGGTCTTTTAGGGTTGGAATGGTCTCCTCTTCATTTCCAATCCTCTCTTCCTTTTCTCCGCTGCTGACAGTCACGGGAGCTGCTCCAAAGAGTTTTGCTGAATAAAGGAATGCCCATTGTAGGTCCCTGTTTTCAACCAAACTTTGTTTGATGAAAACAGGATTCTGGATCTTTCCAAAATGTAATGCTCAAAGCAGAAAGGCACCAGCCTCTGGAGAGGATTAGAAATGGGCTGGCAGCTTTAGAAATGCAGCATCCATGAAAGGGCCTGTGCAGCCATTAACCATCCTATAGCTGTGTGGCAAATCTGTTTTTGATTATTGAATCAGGAGGTAGTAATTTACGGCATCCAAACAGCTACTTTCTCAGTGAGATCCTCACTGTGCCAGATCCCATGTGTCCCTGTTTGCCTGTTGCTAGGGTGACTGCTGGTCTTGAGATGAGGGAGAGGGCAGCAAGGGGCCCGCTCTGCTGCTGACATGATGGGGCGTGACTTGCGAGTTAACTGTACAGATTCCAGCTGCTCTCAGGGACAGCTGAGATGCTTCTCGGAGGTCTCCCCGACGCTGGCAGTGTCTGGGGCCAACGTTTCCATGGGGACATATGCAAGGCTTATGACTGTGCATGTGAGCAGAAGTGGTACATTCTAGGGCTTGGAACAAAAGGACTGATTTCCCAATAGGAAACACATATTTAATTGAGCAAAAGTAAACTAAGCGAAAACGAGGAGGCTGAGGGGAAGCATAAAGGCTCTTTGTAGGGGCTCCCTGACATGGTTTTATTTACATTCAACTAAACAAAATGTCTTTCCATTTGGTCATAGGAGCCTTCTGGGAGGTCTTTCAGATTTCTTTTCCTAGTCTATCTTCCTTATACAATTAGCTATCATGAAATTATCAGTAATTTTTTTAAAAATTATGCCCTCAAAGGTACAGATAGCAACATGGCTCTTTGACCTTAATGTAACACTTTCATTAACTTGCACCAGTGTAAAACAGCATTATTTGATTCCCTCAGATAATTAGAGAGACTGCATGGGTTGCACATGGCAATGGAATGAGCTATTTGTTGCTTTCCAAAAGCCAATAAGAAGTTTCTCCAGGTCTTCTCATAAAGGGATGGGTACTTTCTGGCCTGTTAGGTGATCTAGAGATACAATAAAAGTGGTCCTATTCGGAAATAAGATTCTTTTACTTTGCAAGAAGAGATCTCAAGGGACATTTACAAAGGG